TCTCTGTACAAAATCAATAAAATATATATATATTTTTTAAAAATAGTATTCCACTCAAGGTAAAGAAAAATCTACCGCTGTGGGTCACATCCTTCCTTACAAGTGAAATGCTGATGAAAATTTAGTTTGGACTTTAGCAGTTCTTTTATTTTTTTTTAAAGATGTATTTATTGATTTTAGAGAGGTAGAGAAAGAGATAGAAACATGGATCGGCTGCCTAATGCACGCCCCCTACTGGGGATCAAGCCCAAAACCTGGGCATGTGCCCTGATTGGAATAGAACTGGCAACCTCTTGGTGCATGGAATGTCGTTCAACCATCTGAGCCACACCCGCTGGCAGTTCTTTTAAAAGGGAGAGAAACACATACAAACGTTTTAAGATTTACAATTTTTATTGTTTCTGCAAAACCATGGGACCAGACCAGTTATTTAACCATTTACCTTAAAATTAAAATTTTCTTTGGGGAATTTTTGTTGATTACTTTTCATGTAACTTAACTATTCAAATTCATAAATTAGTAACATTAAAATTTCAAGAATATCTACGAGTGCCAATTTAAAGTAAGATGATACTTTAAGTATATATAGTGAACCAAAGTGATAGCTGATACCTAAAGTGGAATTTGGGGAAGATAACAGAAAAATGATTATGAGAGAAAAGGCCATAAGGCAGCTGGTACTGGCAGACTAGAAAAACAACAAATATAGCCCCCCATAATTATAGTTTCAAATATCTGGTCAAGCACTAAAAAAAAAAAAAAAAAGGAGTTTAAAAAATAAGACAAAAGATAGTGGTTTATATGTAATTCCCCTCCGCCCTTGACTATTAAACATATAGTCTTTTCTTTTATATCCCTTGAAATCTGGTAGAAATACAGAAAAATGCACTGCCAAATAAAAGGGTTAGGGCTAGTGATATAAGGATGAGAAGAAGCTTCTGGCAGGTTTAGAATCATCCAGCCACTGTATTTACCATCTTATTTGTGGGAATCCCATGTTTGAATGGCTCACCATTCTCAGTAATGCATAGGTTCATAGGGAAATCATCTATAACCAAGTCGGCCTTGGGGTGGAAAATGAGACACACCACCACCAGCAAAATGTCCATGATCTCCAATAGTTAATAGTTTGCTCTGATTTCAGGTAAATTTTTCTTATTATTTGGGTAAGTTTTTAAGCTCCAACTTTTGTAAATTTATGCTGAAAAGGTTCAGACGTTAGAAAACAAAGACAAAGGGATACGAATTACCACAGGCTTTGCTGTTGTACTTCATTACTGACACATTCCTGAACCAGTCAGATTTTTAAATCCAGCCAGCGACAGCCAGACCATCATCACTTTTAAAGATATCATTTTCTCTCATTTTTTTCAACTAGAGATGATGGTTATACAACATTTTAAGTATGTAAATGCTACTAAATTGTACCTTTGAAAGTGGTTAATTTGTGTCCTGGGAAGACAGTTCTGTTAGTTCGAGCCCCCAGCCCACCCGTGGTTTCCCCTCTCTCTAAAAATCAATGAATAAAAAAATTTGAAAAGAAAATGGTTAGTTTGTAATGTGACTTTTACCTCAATAAAAGCAAGGTCGATGGGAGGAAAAGGAGACATATATAATACTTTAAACAATAAAGAATTTTTTTTAAAAAAGCAAAGTCATTTTCTCCACTTTTTAAAATAATTTAGTTTGGTGTGATAAGTATTAAGGGATGAAATCCTCTCCAGGGTCAGCAGTTAATCCAAAGGATTAATGAAGATGTACATTTAGCAACATCATTATCTCAATATGATTTTTAAATAATTACAAAAAGCAGTTAACATTCATTTCAGTTATTGTGAAAGATAACCCATAAAAGCAAACTGTTATCTGTATTCTTTCCACTCCCATGAAGAGAACAATTGAAACCACATGACTTAGAATAATGGCTGGCAGAACTCCACCTCTGAAGAGTCCACAGAGGTGTCATTACTCCATTAGAGATAATGGCTATTGATTTAGCCTCCTGGAAGAGCTAATAGGAAAAAGAGCATTTCAGATAGCAAGAATTTTAAAGTATATCAATTCTACTAGGAAGACTTTTATAAAAAAAGGAAAAAAAAAGTAGCCTCCTTTTGTCACCAATGCTCCAGCCACAGACACGAGTTAAAACTGCTTAACCCAGTGACTTAAAATTAGTAGCCCAGACCTTTTTCTCTACACCTACCCCAAATACCAGTAGTCTAAGTAGAACATTAACTTCCCAGGCCATTAAAATCCAAAGGACAAGACAGCATTGTCTAATCAGTAGGAAAAATCTAGGTGTTCATTGTCTTCTTAAATGTAAGACTGCACATCTGTCTTAGACGACGAAATTTCCCTTTTCCTCCTTTCCAAAATACTGCATATTATTTCTAGTCTGGTTATCTACATACAACTACCACTCTGCACAGATTCCAACAGTGTTACTAAAATAATTTCATTAAATGCAAATAAACCCCTCTAACATGTAGGACTGGGAATTTTTTTTACCTTCCAGTACTTTCCAAATTCTCTATGATGAGATGACTTTTATAAGAAAAAAACGAAACAAAACCACAAAGTTTTATAAATAATTTTCATTTTGAGCACCTACTGCATTTATTTAACCCTTACTAGTTTTTCAAGTAGATATTGACCCGTTTTACAGATGAGGAAAATGAGGTTCAAGGTAAACCTACTTCATCAAAGTCACAGTAAACAGATTTGAAAAGAGGTCTGCTTTTTTTTTTTGAGTGTTTTTTCTTCCAACTCCATCAAGGAGCAGAAGCATAAATACAGCATAAGAAAACTTTTCCAATCCCAATCTAATGTTTTGTAACAGAATATCCCCTAACATTTACTGAAAATGACTGAGTAGGAAGTCTTATCTTTTAAGGTTTTTAAACCTTCCAAGTTAATAAGAGGCAATAAACCCAAGAATACAGCTCGTTCCTGAACTATGACCATAAAATGTATTGTTTCAATTTTCTATCTTTATTCCATTACTGTCCAATTTTAATGGTGAGATGAATGTTTAAAAATACAAATGTCCTATACACTCTTGAGAAAACTAGAAATAGAAAAATGAATAGGTTTATCTAGAGGTCACTGACCTGCTTGTGTAAGGGTAAATGAAATTATATTTTGCACTAATCCTCATCTGCTGAAAAATGACGTGTTCAATTCCACCTGGCTTATCTGCTAATTTCTGCATTACCTTGGACAAATGCCATTTACATACTCCCTACCAGCCCTTAGGTGCATTGCAGCCTCTTGTCATTGTGTGACATCACTGGGTTGCTTTGGATATAGGTGGGAGGTCACTCGCTTTTCTGTGAAACTAGAAGTACGGAAAAATTAGAAAAGTCTAAATAACATGAACTTAAATATATTTCCAATATTTGTAACTATTAAAAACTTTTTTTCATTTGAGCGTTAGTATGTTTTAGGATAGCAACTGTGGCGACATATGAATTCATTGGTCCTCCTACTTTCAGAACCAATTGTCTTGCTTAATGAGGTAAAATTTTGTTCGTGTAACTGACTTAAATATAAAGACATCAGCTTATCTTTTGTGAATTCCTAGTTTTTCAGTAATCTGTAATACCTATACTGCTTCGTTAAAAAGATTTAACATGAAAGCTATACATCCATTTCACACTAAAGATACATTTTTAAAAATCTTTGTTACATAAGGTAGGAAGTTAAATATTAAGATAGTGGGAGACCTATATCGTTAATTGGATTCATTTTCCACGTTTCATTTAATAATGCTCAATACCTTCCTTCTCCTCTAATAATCAAACTCGTTGACAGCCTATTAGATAAATGTAGTGTTACTGACAAAATGGTGCAATACAGGCAGGAATCTGCAGACAATTAGAGATCAGTATTCCCTTTTCATCAGCTTGAGGATGTGCTAGCTTGCGTGTGTGTTTTTTGTAAGCCTTAGATGTATCTAACAAAACAAAAAAAATTAAAAACACTCCCCCCCCCCCCCATTTAAAATAACTCCTCCCAGCCTCCACCCAGTCTAGGCTCTCTGCAATATGACAAATGCAGAATCTTCTGGAATGACTTGATACTGCCTCCCACCATCGCTTTGTTTGCAATAACAGGTTAGTGGGAATATTTTTTTTCAACTTAATAGAAATTTCAACAGCCGTGTGCCTGTATTATAAAAAACAACACAGCATGTTACAAATTGAACCAGTCGGATAAATTCACAGCCTTTATTTTAAAGACAATACCTACCGTTTTCAATACAAAACATTAAGGAAAAAATGGAAATGACATGTCGAGAGAACAATCAATGAAAACGCTAGCAAGACAAACGTTCCCCCCCCCCTTCCTAAAAGCACGAGGACCTGGCTTTGGGAAATGAGAGAAAGATCCTTTTGTTAAGAAAAAACGTGGGCAAGGTTTCGACTGCACCACGGAGCCCAGGTTTTCAGGGAAGCCTACATGTTTCTTAGGGAGGTTCTACGGGATCTGTGGGGAGAGGCAGCGGGGAAGACTGGGAGGGCGGTGGGGAGGAAGAGGAGAAGATGTTAGGAAACCCGGAGACGAGCCGAGTGAATGCGAAAGGCGCCGCCCAGACGCCAGGGAGAGAAAGAGGAACCGCATCCATGCGGTCCCCCGCCCCCACGCCAGGGCTGGGAGGAGGGGAAGCGGGGCACAAAGGATGCGCAAGACCCCCGCTCTGGCCCCCGGCAGCCCTGGAGCCGCGGGGGGGCAGGGACCCCACTTCAGAGGTCAGCCCCGCACGACCCCGCCCCAGCCCCAGCCCCGGGAAGGTCTGGAAGGCAACGCCGTGGGCCCTGGGGGACACCCGGGGAGAGGCCGCGTCACAACCCGGGTCCCCATTCACTATGGGGACCCCTCCCCTGTCCGCTAAGAGAGCGAGAAGGCCCTGCAGTCGCCACAGGCGACTAAGCCACGGGCCGTCCACGCGTCTGCAAAGGGGGTTGTGGCGATGCGGGGGGAGGGGAGGAGGAACTCACGTTCTTCATGGCCGCGGCCATGTCGTCGTAGCGCTCCGCCTGCTCGGCCAGCCGGGCTTTCTGCACCAGTTGCTCGCGGTCCACCATCTTCGCGGGCTAGGTCGGGCCGGGAGAGAAAACCGGGGAGGCCTGAAGGGCTCGGAAAGAAGGCAGCTGCGGCGCGGCTGGAGCCGTGTGCCGGGGGGACCGACCACGCAGCGGGTGGCTGAGAGGGATGGAGGCGGCGCAAAGGCTGCAGCTCGGGTTGCAACCGCGGGAACGGGCGTGAGGCGGCTGCGACTGCAGTGCGTGCCGCGGCCGGACCACCCCCTGCGGTCACGCCCACGCCGCGTGACGCACAGGGCCCGCCCACCCGCGCGCCCCGCCAGGCTCCGCCCCAGCTCTTCCGCTTCTGGGGCTTCCCCTCCCCAAATCGGCTCTCCGCCGCCTTCAGGGTGCCCCTTCCTTTCTCTCTGCCTCTCAACACTCGTGGTTCTTCACTACACCCCGGTTCCAGCGTCCCAGCTTCTCCAGATGCCTCCCCTTCTTCCCCACCCAGGCCCCCGCCCTGCCCGGTCCTCGGCCCCTGAGCCCCCTGGGAGTTGTAGTTCATCCACCGGCGAGGTGATGCATTGGAGAGATCAAGGACAAAGGGGCGGTCAGTACTACATCTCCCAGAGGTCATAGCGCGCAACCGCAGGGAGGGAGGGGATGGGTTGTCATCGGCGGCCGCTGGGGACCCCTGGTGGGGACGAAGACTGCTTCAGCCGGAGCTAGTGCTGATTCACGGCCCCGCCCCATATTCTCCAGGAAATTTCTAAGGTAAAGAAAGGGCCTGAGCCTCAGCCCTGGACCTGGTCTTCGAGGTGAAGTAGCAGACCAAGGTGGTTCACCGGTGGCAGGGAGGGGACTCGCCTATTGTAGATCCAAACTGTCCAGGTAATGCCCTCCCTGGGGTAAGGTGAATTAAAAAGCTAAACATTGGGAGCTAAACTGGAATACTTCACAGGATTCCAGTTCCCCACCTCACCTTGAGGTTTTTGGGTCTGATGAGTTGAAAACATGAAAGGATAAATATTGGCCAAGCATACTGGTTAATTTATAGAAAGGATGCAGCTGTCTGCCGGCTGACCCCTGGGGAGCCCTTCTTCCTCTCCAGGATGGAGTGTTAAAGATTGTTACTAAGAGCCTATGGCCTGCTTATCACCGGGTTGTGTCTGGAATTAACCAATCCTCTCCACCTAGGGCATAACATACTGAGGTCAAGCTGACAAATTCTTGCCCATGTGCTTGCTTCCCTCTTTGACATTCCATGTAGCTCATACACCCCATAGTTTTGACCGCACATTTTATTTACTTCATTTATTCAGCAGGTATTGAGCACTTACTCCAGCACTGTTCTAAGCAATGGGGTACAGCAGTGAAGAACAAAACAACAACAAAACCCTACCCAAGAAAATAGGCAGGATATAAATATGGGTGGGCAAAAATATATTTACAGTTGTACAAATAAATAATAAAATAATGATACAAGAATAAACTGTCTTGTGTACTCAAACTGTAAACCTACATTTGCCCACCCCTGTATGTAGAATATGTTAGAAAGTAATAAGGAGGAAAAATATAAAGTAAGAGATGTTAAGTGTGTATGAGAACGGCTCTATGCTAGATGTTAGGGGGAGAGGGTATGGAGCGCTGCTCTTGGGAATTTAGAAAGTGTTGTGTGTGTGTGTGTGTGTGTGTTTGAAATGATTTCAGAAAGAGCTGAAGGGAGAGAGGGAGAGACATCCTTATGACAGAGAGACATTGATTGGTTGCCTGCTGCACGGGATCAAATCCTAAACCAGGGCATATGCCCTGACTGGGAATTGAACTAGTGATCCTTTGGTGTATGGGAAGATGCTCAGCCAACTGAGCCACACCAGCCAGGGCCTAACTTTTTAAAAAATTATTATTACTAGAGGCCCAGTGCATGAAAATTCATGCACTGGAGGAAGGGTCCCTCAGCCTGGCCTGCCCCCTCTCATAGTCCAGGAGCCCTCAGGGGCAGGAGGTGACCCAGCGATCAGAGGAAGGCGACACCCCATCATATCTCTGCTGCTGCCACTGCCTGTAGCACAAGCTTTGGCCAGCCCTGGTTACCCAGCCCTGGCGGCCCTGGACGGCTGGGGTGCTGAGGGGACTAGATGTCGCCATCTTGTGGCTCTGGATGCTGCCATCTTTGAGGGCGTGGTAGACAATTAGCATATTCCCTTCTTTTTGGCTATGAGTGCTGCCATCTTTGACGACAGGGCAGTCATTAGCATATTCACTCCTTATTGGCTGAGAGCTTTGCCATCTTTGCAACAGCATGATGGTTAATTAGCATATTCTCTCTCTATTAGATAGGATTTTGCCCTCCCCCCAAAAAAAATTTATTTTGGGCTGGATAGGAGTAGATTCTGAAAAGCTCCAGGGAGGTTGGTAACATTTTCAACTCAGCTCTTAAAGGACACATAGGATTTGAGAACAGGCAGAGGGAACAGGCAAAAAAACTCAAAGGCAGGTTGCCTCCTTACATATATATTGATAGACAAAAGAATCCAGTTTTGGTTGCCTGAAGTGATGGATAATTGGGCTAGGGATGGTGTCTGGAGCCAAAACGTGGGGAGTCCTGAATGGCAGGCAAGAGAGTGAAATCTTTATTCTGAAACAAGTAGAAAACCAAGGGCAGAAAATAAGATTTGTGCTTTGTCTTCTTTTTTTTTTTTTAATATATTTTATTGATTTTTACAGAGAGGAAGGGAGAGAGATAGAGAGCTAGAAACGTCAATGAGAGAGAAACATCAACCAGCTGCCTCTTGCACACCCCCACTGGGGATGTGCCCGCAACCAATGTACATGCCCTTGACCGGAATTGAACCCGGGACCCTTCAGTCCGCAGACCGACGCTCTACCGCTGCGCCAAACCGGTTTCAGCTGTGCTTTGTCTTCTTCATCATTACCTCCTTGGTTCTTAGCACAGTGCCTGGTACACAGTAAATATATAGAACATACTAAAGAAAGGAATGAATATGAACTGAGGAGAAAATCTAGAATGGCTGTCTTCTCCCCCTCCTCCAACACAGAATTCAGCCCCTCTTCCCTTCATGCACCACCCAGCAAAATGCAATCCTGCTGGTGAATGAACCCTCCTACTTCCTTCTGTCTCTTACAAAACTGTTTGCCAAGTCATCCCTCTTCCTTTCTCTTCCTGCCTGCAGGCCAGACCTGAACTCTTCTGGCCTGGGCACCACAGGTCCGTGGGAATGACAGCCTTGGTTGTCTATATGTGGGTTAAATGTGTCAATGCTAAATCTTGGGAACTTCCTGACACATTTCAGGCTGCTTCCCTTAACCTCTCCACCTCAGTTCCTTCCCCTACCAGTCCAATGTGCCTTAAAAAAAAAAAAAAAAAAAAAAAAAAATTGAAGCCAAATCTGTTTGGGAAAAGTCAAGCAAATGCAAAGAAAGGATGTTCCAAAGCCAAACAGTAATGACATCTGCAATCTTCACATCAAGGCCCCCCCTCCAATGGCAAAAGGGAGAGCTGGCCCTGCCCTCCTTCCCCTTAGGATTTTTTTTTTTTTTTTTTTTTTTTTTAAGACACTAGGCTTAAAGCTGCAGCAGCCCAGAAGCCCTTGGCTTTTTAGAGGACTGCTTCAGAGGCATGGTGACATTATACTAATATTAATGATGTAATGCTTTAATGGCTTAATATTCTGGCTCCCTCCTACACTGCCTGGTCCTGCAGAAAGAAACCTGAAGCAGGGATTTGGAGAACTAGCATTCTGACTTCTGTGTGGCCCCCAACTCAATGTGCAAGGCCTTATCCCCTCTCTGGGTCTCAATGTACCCTCCTCTGAAGTGAGAAATGAAACTAAATAAGAACTAAGTGCTCCACCCAGCTGTGATGAATCATAATTCTAGATTCAGTATGTTCCTCTTCTGAAGTAGAAAACTATTGGTATTCTTTAGCCGTGGAAACAAGGGATGTATACCTAAGAACCTGAGAGATGGTTGAATGCCAAGGATTGAGAGGCTCAGAATCATCCTTGTTGTTGTTTTTCTTTTGTGTGTGTGTGTGTTTTTTTTGTTGTTGTTGTTGTTGTTAATCCTCACCAGAGGATATTTCCTCTCTCCTTCCCCTCATGATTTTTAGAAAGAATGGAAGGGAGAGGGAAAGATTGGTTGCCTCCCAAATGCACTCCGACCCAAGCCTCCCCTACATCAAGCCTGCAACCATATTATGAGTTCCTTTTGAGTTCTGTGCCCTTGACCCTTGACCAGAATCAAGCCCACGACCCTTCAGTCTGAGGGCCAACACTCTAATCACTGAGCATACTGGCTACAGCAGAATCATCCTTGTTTTTTAGGCAAGAAAGTTGAGACACAGATTCTGTGTGACCAGTCACAAGTGACTGATAGAGCCTGAATTCAAAACCAGGCAGATCTTCTGGACTCCCCATAGCCAGGACACCCTTTCCTACCCAGGCTATGAGGATCTATCCCTTGGCATGTGCTCAGGAAAGAAAAGGCTCTGCCCTGTGGTGGTGGACCTGACACAAGGGCACTGGGCAGGCACTCTGTATGACTAACAGTCCACCCCATCTCTAGTGTTGGAGGACATGACCTTTAGAAGCCAAATCTGTTTGGGAAAAGTCAAGCAAATGTCATACAGTTAGTCATACAGAGTGCCTCTCTGGCTAAGAAGGCAGACAAGCAGGCTAATGAGAGGCATTCGTGTCCTGCTGTGTCTGTGCAATCATAAACCACTGCAGCCCCATCCGCTGGCTCCTGGCTTCCTTCTGCGGCTGGAAAGCTCCCTAATTGGTGTAGAGCAGCAGCATAAGCCCAGCTTCAGAAGCAACTTGGGGAGAGGGTGCAGGAGGCAGCTGATCGATATTTCTTTCTCATGGATATTTCTAACTATCACTCTCTCTTCCTCTCTGTAAAAAAAAAAAAAAAATCAATAAAAAAATATATTTTTTAAATGATCAGAACTACAGTTATCCTTTGTAGATCAGGATATCTCACAGTGCTATCATAGGGGTTTCCTGGATGTCTATGACATCATAGGGATTTCCTGG